GACATTCGCTAGCAAATATCTAAGTAAACTATAAATGAATTAACGTAAAGATTGTTGTAAAAGTTGTTGGCATTGTGATTGCGCACTTTAAATTTTTGGGTTCATTCAAAATTTAATGCAATGATGTGATTGGTCCGTTTGAAGTCGGTCAAACCAATCACTTTAGACTTTAGTTTAATTCAAAAATGTAGCAAAATTAGGTAATTCGGATGTGCATTAATTCATAAGATGATTACAGTTTTTCATTTTAATGTTATGCGTGTGCCCTTTATGTGGCCTGCGCTCTCTATTAAGTTTAATGTATATTGTGACGGAAAATTTGCAATTTGCAAGTTACGTTTAGTTGTACTTGACTGAGAAATAAAATCTTAAACCTTAAAATAGGAAAAGAATATTAGTGTTTTCCCATCCTGTGTGTTTATAGATGCAAGATAAATTGGCCATGAGGACATAGAAGTGAAAATCTTCTTTTAGTGGTAAAATTTCTAAAAAAGTTTCAGTAACTTTGAAAACAGCATTCATATTTATAGTTAAGTATTTAACCCATAACATTTTTACTATTTAAAAGTAATAAATTCACAACAACGACATTGTGTAATAAAAATATAAAAATCTTTTCATTTTGGATTTGCAAAAAAACAACCAGTATGTTTATATAAAAACATATTAGTGCAAAAGTAAAGTCCCCGAGTCCTCCGAGGTGATCGGAACACCAAAGAGATGCCGTTTTATCTCTTTTCATATGTGTTCGAAAAAATAGCTTTGTACAAAATTAAAGCTTACAAAATTTTCAACAATAGGTATAATCTTTTTAGGTTTTTTGTATCGCAAGTAGTTTTCGAGATACTTATTCACTAATAAACATCGCACTCTCTAGAATAAACTATTAATAAATTATCGTAAAAATTGTTGTAAAAGTTGTAAGCATTGTGATTGGGCAGTTTAAAGTCGGCTATTAATAATGTAAAAAAACAATACCTTTATATTTTTCATTTCATTCAAAAATTTAATGCAATGATGTGATTGGTCCGTTTGAGATCAGTCATTATTATAATGTGTGTAACCATGGGGAAACCAATCACTTTAGGCTTTAGTTTAATTCAAATAATTGGTTAATTTCTATTTGCATTCACTTATAAAATGATTCAAATTTTTAATGAAATGTCATGTGTGTGCCCTGTTGCAATTTTCACGTTACGTTTCGTTGTAATTGACAGGACATAATATTTAATCATAAAATAGAAACAGAAACATTAGTGTTTTCCCCATCCTGTGTGGTTACAAACAAAACATAAATTGGCGATGAGGCTACGGGTGTGAAGATTTTGACTTTGTTGACTGATTAAACTTTATCGATTTCAGTGACTTTTACTCACAAACACACGAAAAACGCTTAAATATTAAGCGAAATTGTGTCCTTTCCTAAATGTGTCATAAAGTTTGTCCAAAGAATAAATCGACTTAGTATTTTTATTGTAACGCAAAACCATATGCGTGTTAAACGATGTAGTATGATCAAGTTTGAGTGTTTTGCATGTATCGATTATTCTAATGGCGTGGCAACATTAGCAATATTTTATTCAGCCTAGGCTAAAGTAATATTTCATAATGAAGTCCAAAGTGTAAGCAATTTTCTTTGTAGAAAAAATGTAACACACAACAATGAGTCATGGAGTGCAAAATTTTGTGAAATGCTCTAAATTTAAATTTCATTTTAATTTATTTATGAGAGCGGGCAAAGATGAGGGCACAGTACCGTTTACATATCAATGAATGTTTATTTTTAATGGGAGCATCGACGCATGGTTTATTTTCCACTTTGGTCAAAAATTCGTTCAACTAAAGGCCAAAAATGTTCAATGGTCAAGGAAAAACGATTTGTTTTCAGAGTGAGGGCGAATGGTTTGAGAATAAATTACGACTTTTTCATTTTTGTTATGATTGTTAAAAACGTGATTTATAATCCTTCTTTATTCGCCTCACTAAATATTGAAACGGCGGAAAAGTTTAGTTTAGATTCACGGTGGCTCGGATAAATAGAAAATTTATTACCAACCGTTAGGTTATTTATTTTGATCTAAATTCATTTCGGTTTTTAATAATACATATTGTTAAGGCATAAGAATTACACATTAAAAACATGAATGCAACTATTAAACTGCTATATCTGCCTATGATTTACCAATTTTAATAAAAAAGTAACAGTAATAACGTTAAACACAGTGAGAATTCAGATACAGCTTCTTTGTTTCCTCTGCCAATCGCCTGCAGCAAAAAAACATTGTTTTTTCTAACAAAAATAAATAGGGTCAAAGTGCAAAATTTAGACCTCCATATTTTCGAAATTTTTATAGATAGAAATTTTTGAACATTTATTCCTAGTACTTATCTTACATTTTTCTGGAAACACCCTGTATATCCATTTCTCAAATCAGTAAAAGATAAACTTTCGAATGGTGCACAAATCACTAAAATGTAAAATAAAAAATGTATTATTTGAAATACAAAATTTGGCAAAAATATTTTTGGGCCTTATGCCTTTTTGTGATTACATCCAGGGTCTAATTCAGCATATGAACAAGGTTGAAAAATAACTGGTGGAGAACTTATTTTTCAACCTTGTTACTTGAATCTGGAGACGTTATTTTCACAATATTATTCTGGATATGATTCCAATTTTTAAATATTAATAAATTAATACAATTTAATTTAATACTAAAATTAAATTTCTCGTTTGATTTCAATTAATTAACAAATTTTACTTAGCAAACTGAAAATTTAGGTTAGTACCACCAAAAATTTCTTTTGGTGGTCCAAATTCTGACTAAAAACAGGATTAGTTGTGAAAAGTTCTTCTAAAGCAAAAAATCCTACATGTTCATTTTAAGTTGTTCTAACTTCAAAGATGCAAAAATGCCATTAAATTCAAACTACCGTTAATTAATATCCTTATTCCCGGTAGCAGCAAATATTTCAAACAGTCGCATCAATTTAATAATATTAGAGCACATGCTGCAGGCTGATAGACATATACAAAAATATATATAAAAGCAAGTCTAGAAGCATCAGAGATTTGTGTAAACTTTTAGCGCACCTGAAAGAAAATCAGATTAAATTGAATATACTCACGGAACGAGTAACTTCATTTTGTTGGAAGACGTTTCAAAAATAAGCAATATTACTTTGAAGTATGTTTTAACATAATTTAATCTTCGTTTTATTATTCTTTCGTTTCCGAAACATTTTTAGAACATTTCTAGAACACGTTTTTAAAAGTATTGCGGTCATTTTTTGTTACGCGGTAATGGAAACGTCCAAATTGGGCCTTTCTGTGTAGTTACGTTAGCGTTCAAGCGCGTTTTCACCCTCATTTTGTCTGGTTAATATTTTCGAGAACATTGTGTACGGCAAGATAAAAATAATTCCGCGTTGTGTTGTGCCTTCGTCTTTCTGACAAGTTTTAATTGCACACTCCACTATTGTTAGAGATTTTATAATATTTTTTTGGGTAGGGCGGAAAAACCATTGCAGCCAATTTCGTTTCAAGCCTAAAAACACTGGGTTTAATTAAAGGGGACGTGCCTGTATTTTTTGTAATGAGTGTGTAAATCAAGACTAACGATCCGCAACAAATTAGGCAAATTAAACAAAAACCAGGGCTTAACATTTTCAAAACTCAAGAGTCATCACTGACGTTTTCGTTGTCATGAAAATATGAAAGTGAAATTAAAGTTGAAAGCTTAACACCTGTTTGGTGTTAAAGTACATAAAGGAAATTATTTTATCAGGACAATTGCCACAGGCTATCGTAAAATTTTGTTATATATGGACATAACGGTCCAGTGACGCACTTAATTCATTTAGCGCAGCCGGTGTTATATGGCTTTGGGCATATAAATAAACAAAACAAAGCTTTGTTGTCGACAGATCTCGGGGAAACACCGACAGACTCAGTGAAATAGTAAAAAGCTTAGCACCATTTATCACAGATAAAAATATGGAAAACTCTTAAAGCTTTTAAAAAATGTTGAAAGGGGACATCTCACGGAATAAAACAGTTTTGAAATTAAAAAATATTTTCTCATAAAACTGTCGACACTATAATTTATTAATAAGACACCGTATCAGCTTAGATCCAATACGTCAATAAGTTGATTTCTACCTCTAACTCTGTAACAAAAATGGTTTAGCTTTACTAAATGACTAGCATTCATTTCGAAAAATATAATAACAAAACAATAAACTATTATTTATTATTAGGCTTATATTTTACGTTTGTCATGGAAATTGTGTTTTATAAGTTAGCAATCTTAAAACCAGTATCATAATTTTTTTGTAGTTCACTGAACAGATTAATTTGATTTTTGTTGATGTAGAGCTTTATAATAATGTGAAAACGACAAGTATTAATTATTATTTATTTATTTTTCCACAGGAAACTAATTGTTTGCAGATTAAAACGGGGATTAAAAGGAATTAATTTTTTTTATAATTGAAGCGGTTGCTGTCAGACAAAGATAAATCCAATAGAGAAAATAAGCGCTCAGTTCAAACTAGTGTTTTGCATGAATGCTCAAAAATAACAGTTCAATTTTGACAGTTGTTATAAATTTAACTCTATGTAAAGCAATTTAATTGTTAACGTTTCCTAGGATTGCAACTGATAAAAAAATTCTAAAATCATATTTTCAACTTTATAAAACCGCCGATGCCTCAGCACGCCACTGATTAGGCTGTTGGAGTTCTTATACGATCGGGGAATACCCCGATACGGTACTTAGTCACGGAACGTTTCGTGTATAATAAAATAAATATAAATTAAATTTGGTTCCTATTTATACATATTTAAATCGAAGTCAAGACAATTTGAGAGTATTTGTAAAAAAAAAATTAAATGTGATGTAAACAGAAGAGCTGTTGCGGTGGTGTCGTGCGAGGGGAAACAAAGACACATGGTGTATGGTGGTTATGATGAATAAGCTTTAAGCTCTAAAGCTAACCTGATTAGTACAGTTGGGAAGTTGTGCAGATATCGGTGTCGCTATCCCATTCTGCGGTGCACACTGTCCCGATATCGGCACTAGGCAGCCAGAAGAGGCATGCCTTGGCCAGAGAGGAGGCGGCGAGTTAGCAACAACGACGGCACACGGCGACGGCGATGACTGTGCTTGCAATGTGGGGCATTAGGTACTTGTAAAAAAGCTCGGTATTGATTTCCCGTCGGTTGCAGCTTGGAGAACTGTGACCTGAAAAGTCTTCAGTATACTGTACCTACTATCTGCGTTGCGCAGGTTGCGTACTTGCGGCCGTCTCTCTCCGCGACGGCGTGGACGCGCAAGCGTCGCGATTTTACCATCAGGATAGAGGGAATCGTTATTTTAAATGGACTATTGCGCCTGTCCTTCGACTACTTTGCCCATAAAACATCCTCACATTATCAGCCGAAATGCGCTATTCTTCCATGCCACCGACACCATTAGCCCATATCCATGACCCGCCCTCGAACCCGCCGCTCTTTATCACCCTCATTCAATACCGACAAAAATTTGCCACAGCTCCCAATACCTTAATCATCATTCGATAAGTGCCGTTTTATGCAATCCTGCGGTGCCACAATTATGTCTAGACCGCTTTTTCTCACATCCTGCTGTATTTATTACCCATAAGCCAGTCCAAACAAATAAACTTTGTTCAAGCGCTTCACGAGCGTCAACAGCACTTCAAACTTTTTCTTCTCCTCACTTGCAATATTCTATTTATATATACTACTTTACACATAAATTGCGACACCAAATCACACATACTTAACTTCAAAAAAAAAAAAAAATTGAAATCCAAATTTCTCCTAAAATAAGATATAAGTTTGTGTTCAACATCGATAATTACAGTTACGAAAGTACAAATATATATTTTCGTAAAAAAATTTGTTAAAAAATGACAATAACGGCGTCACTGCTATCGTTACTTCCTCCGTATTGTTAGAATCTAATCACTTAAAATTATGGTGAAGGAGAAAGAACTTTCGACTATGTCTGATTGTTTCAAATTAAGCGAATGATGGAAAAATTTCTCAAATTTAGTAAAACAAAGAAATCAATTTTAGTTAAAAGAAATGGAAAAAATTCTTTGTGTAGCAATTTATGTGTCATGTAGTATTATTTTTCACCCTCTTTCTTCCGGAAAATAAGAGAGTTTCTAATCGAAGCGCACTTTTTTATTCTGCAACAATGCTTAAAACTTTAATTATTTTCTTTCGTTATGTTTTTATTTAGGTCAGGTCTCTTTCAAAATGATTGGATAAAGTTTACGTTTACAGCGAGAATATTCATTCATCATTAAATAAACAGTATTCTTAAAGACAACTTTGTTTTTTTTTCTACGTAAGGTCAACGACATCTTTACCTTTACAACTGGGAATTTAATTTTCTTTAGGAAATATTTTTCCGTCGCATGTGTGAAATCGGCTTAATGCAACTATTCTTGTTTGATTTTGTCCAGTAGGTAATGTTGACTGTTATGAAAACGTATTTTATTTATATGACTAGTATATAAGTACATTTTTATAAAAAAAGAAATAAACCATACTTATGCAAACAAAATTTATATATATCAGTAAAAAATTATAAAACTAGAGACAAATAGCTCTATAAGAGTTTGCAACTTGTAATGTAATTTAAAATTACCGCTGATGGAGACACTGATATATTGATTATAATGTTCAAAACTGTTATCACAACGAAATTTCCAAGAGTCTATTCGAGTTCAATCCTTAATCAGGCAAATTTACAAATTTATAAAATCAAACGTCTTTGATGATTAAATACATATAATTAACCTCTGACTTATATAAAATGTATAATAATAACTCAAAAGACATTCATGCAATTGTTACAAAATTTTGATATTGCATAAGAACTCATAAATCTCCAAAGTTTCATAGAAATAACTCTTTTGAAACATATTCTTCCAGTCACAGAAAACCTGCGAAAAATTTAGCATTCCTAAATGGGAAATTTAATTAGCGAATTTGAAAACGGTTTTTTATGTGTTCGCCATTGACATAACCGAAATTCATTAAAGTAAGGACCTGTTGCTTAACAGGACAATCAAAGAGCGCTTTTCGACTGTTTACGATTTCGGAAAAAATTAAAAACAACTCTCCGAAACTAGTTGCTCTTGAAATCTGTTATCTGTACCTCACTATTGTCACGTCGGTTATTATTTTTGAGATACAAAACAAAACAAACTCTTAATTTTTTACAGTTTTCCCTCTTCATCAAAACAGCAAGACTAAAATGATTTACAAAAAAATATGTTAATGTGTAGGTATAAAAAATAAAAGGTATTCGATAAATTTCGCATAGTCCAGAAGTTTTTAAAATGCGTGCCATGCTATTAATATAGGTTGTAACCGAAATAAATACATTAATTTTAACAACGCGCACAACTCGCCAAATACAACATTTTTTGTACCTATACATTTTTTTCGAAAACGCAATAATTATTAAGTTTAAATTATAAAACGTTTTCCTGTAAAAGCTTTTACTCGCTTATTGTTGTTTTGTTTTTCGATTAGAACAAGTAATTATTATCGTTCCTTTTAATTTTATTTGTAAACATCCTCATTGTAAAATTGAATACAAATTTTGTTAGAAAAACAGTCCTCCTTTTTTAATTAATAATTATTACTTAAACAATAAAATAACATTAATTAAGTTTGTATGCAATAACAGTGCTTGAATAATTGTTTTAACGAAATTACACAAATACTAATTATTTATTGATAAACGATTACTGCTTGGCTTGCATGCTTTGTGCAACACGGAAAAGTAATAAGTAACGCATTAATTTGTTTATTTTGATCTAATCCGTGTTCTCAGTCACTGCACTTAACAGTACCTCAAAAAATACATTTCGAACAGTTTCCATCAAATTTATGAAACGGTATTACAATTTCCACGTACAATGTCACCACCAAAATTTATTAATAAATTGAGTTATGAAAAATTAACCAAACGTAAACAATACCGTCCAAACTCGACATTAAAACGGCAATAATTATTTCTACACAGGTCAAAAGGTGAAAAAAAAACTGAACGGCTCATTGTTTTACAAAAAATTTTGCATTTGACAAGTTCTACATGTGGTTAAAATTAATGTAATTATTTCTGTTACACCTGATATATTAATCGCAAGATCAACACATATTTCTTCAATATCAGTTCAAAAATTTCGACATAATTTATTTTACGTTTTAGAAAAAGCAGTTTTAAATAATTATTACACTTAAGAAAAAACACTCAAGTATGAGAGTAACGATTTTCTTGCAAATGAATTAATTTTGAGGCGTCTTGATATGGCAGTCTTCAGAATTAAAAACATACAAGGAAGAATAAAAATCATGTTGTGCATAATAACGTATATTTGGAGATTAATATATATTTTTATACATTGAATATTAAGAGCCACAGCACTCAGCAAACGGGTTTCCGTGATTAAAATGTTTGCGGAGTATTACATGTTAAAATTAATTTGATGAGTTGGTGAATGGCGTTAACTTATTCTAATTTTCACTCTTTGCTAATATAAGGCAAGGACTTAAAAGAATACACAATATTCGTACTTAATATAAAACATGTAAAATAGATAATTCGATGTAAATGATAAGACCATAAACAAATCAGTTTTTATATCTAGGTAGGCACCGATGAATATAATTCATAAATTGGTGTAATTAATAAATTCACGAGTCCATTAAAACTTCACATTGTATAAATATGTACGTATGCTACATCACATGAATATATATGCTTGAATCAGTCTAACAAAAAAAATATATATAAACAATCTTTTACACACACCCTGTCTAAGTACTTTTTGATTATTTTTCTAATTTACATCTAAACCGTTAAATATCGTTATCAGTCTCATTAAAAAAATCGTCCGTTTAAATGTAAAATTCCAGTTAACAATATCAAATCAGCCCAACACAAACTGTTTAAAAATAGATCAAATCAATGCGTTTAAATTTTATATTTTTAGGTACAATACAATTCATACACATAAGCACCACATTCAATGCATTTGTTTCTGACAACCGACTCGATTAAAAATCTAAAACACAAATTTGTCAACATCCAGAGAAATATTGGTTACAGACTTTCATTACAAAAGAACATTTCTATATAAAATAACGGCTCCAACCTCTCTAATCAGTATACCATTATTGTCTTCAACATCTGAGTTACATATAATTTACGTGGGAAGATCTGGTTGGTCTTTTCGTACTTCGCTTGAGACTGTCGACAACGATACCGAAAACGCAGGTTTCTTGAGCACTGGAGGTTTCGCTTTGAGCTGTGGTTTGAAAGTCGTCGTCGTCGCACTCCCGATCGTCGCATACTTACGTTCAGGCATGGGACTAGTAATCGTTATCAAATTCGGATCAGCACTAAGATCGCTACTATCAACATGAACCTTGGTGTTTTTCTTTAGCGTACATTGATTTTGTTTGGCGAATCGCTCAGCGGCGGTTTGCATATCGGGACTTTCGGGCCCTTGAGGGCTTTCCAACGACTTACTGTCATCGCTGATTGAGCCTTCTGAACTCAAATTACTCGATACTGATATGGACTTCTTCGTGGTTTCTTTCGGACTCGAATTACCAACTAATGGGAGATCCATAACTAGATCAGGAGTGTGATTTTGTCTTTGTAAGAAAGATTCGGAATTTCGGTTCGCTTTTAACGTTTGAGACTGAGATACATGGATATGCGACTGTGAAACCGCTCGTCTTTGCCATTGTTCGCGATTCTGACTAAAATTTAAATTCGATTCGTCGATTTCCGACTTGTTGCGAAGTTCGACACTTTCAGAGTCCGATTTTCCCATCTCTGGAACCGTTTCGCTCTTCTCTAGTTTTCGGGCTAACATTATAGGAGAACCGTTAATTGTGATATTTTGAGGGGTGGTTTGATTCACATTTATCGTGACGACAGGATCACGAATTCGATTCAACAAATGCGATTCTAAAGATATGTCCAAGGATTTAAGACGGCTGTGTCCATTCTGAAACAAAAACAAATCGTAAGTCACGGCTTCCTCATGTTTCACACATTTAACATTATATACAGAGATAAATTTAAAGAAATGAAGGGAATTAGTCTCGAACAGTAATCATTCAACACTGAATATCAATGAATCAATGAAATAGTAATTCGGGATAAAACTATAAAACGACAGTAGTCACATGACTGTCTCTATTACCACTGATTTTACTTAAAATAGGTTCATGTTTGATGGCTTAAAGTCTAGCATTATCACCTAAACCACTAAGAAGTGCTGTTACTTGGTGTTAATGTGCTTAGTAATGCGCATGCAAACAAATGAAAACACCAATACATGCGAAGTGCTCACCTTTAAAATTCGCAGTCTGGGATTGTAGTCTAGCAAATGTACTATGAAATCAACAAAAATAAAATAAAATAATAAAGTGGAAAAATACTACAACACTGTGTTCTATTCAACCCAGTACATCTACAAAATAACTCAGATACAAATAAATTCATGTACACAAGTCATAACTGGGATTATAATAAAACACATTGTTTGAGCCTATTGCAATTTCGAAAACGTTTTAGATGTGACACTTAGACAAATATTTTACGAAACATTTATTTTTTTAATAAATCCATGCATACATGTCGATACAATTGCTTGAAACTTGAAACAATACCTGCACCTTATTCAAATTATATACAAATAGGTAATTGAATCACAAAATTTAAAATCTAAAAACTGATACACAAAAACGCATGCGCATGCTTTAAACATTTACGAGACAACACATAAAATAAAACAATTACATGCACAAAACAAATACAAAATTACAAGATACTAGTAAAGTCACACGTTAGACAACTTACTTTGTAACATAAATGAGATCATTGTGTACATGAATTTATAAAGTATTAGATTTTCAAGAGTCCTAGTACTGTATGTTAAGAAATACTTACGCAATGCATAGCATTAGGCAATAACAAACTTATTAAAAATCATAATCAAAATTTGCGACATGGCATTTAGCTAAACACGTGCACACTAGACAGTAGTTTCCAATACCTCTCTCGTCTGGTTTAAAATTACTGAGTTGTTTTCTGATGAGATTGATTCGTTCATGTCTGATACGTTTGTCCATGTTACAGGGGCGCACTGCACTAATGGCGAATTACTAGCAGAAACGGAACTTTCAGATAACATCGAATCGTTCGAACTGGAGACTCTACGCCGCATGGACTCTTCAGACGAACTGGACTTGAGGTTTTCCAGTTTCTCTCGGTCATCATCTCTGAAGAAACTAGTCATAAATAACCCGAATGAAAATAAAACAAATAATCTCACTTCATTTTTAAAGATATATATTTATCTGGAATTAACCCTTCTTGTCCTTTCACTGATCCTTTCCACCAATCATTTGACACTTGAGAATATAATGTTACAGTGTCACCTTTCTTAAGCGACAATTCTCGATCAGATCTTGCAATAAAATCAAATTGTGCCGTTGCTTCCATGTTTTCTGAATCTGAAAAAATCAATTTGTATTACAGAAGTGAAAAATATGTAATACGGACCATCTTCAGATGGGTATACTTCGGAATCCAGGTCTTCTGGCACCTGATCAGATGGCAAATCTCCAACATCACTATAACAAAATCGTGGTAAAATGGACAAAAATGGCGAAAAACATACTGGTCATCGGGTTCAGGGGATATATATTTTTCGTAGACAGTGCCACCATCGTTAGGAAAAATTTCTTCATTAAACATTATAATATTCTTAATAAGTTCGTTAACTTGGTTCTGATACTGAACTTGGTCCTTGTCGTCAGGAACTGGTACTAAAGTGGGTCCAAAACAAATGGCTAGGTTATAAGGATCCATCATGTTCTCGTCAGAAAATTCTGACAAGCTACAAGGACGAAAATACATTTGATGAATTACAACTCATGCATCACTTACTGGTTTAGGAAGGCGAAAAGGTACCTCATCACAACTATCACAGTTCTTGGTAAACTATTGATTAGTTCCTTCATTCTAACAATGAATTCCCGCTTAGATTCTAATTCTAAAAAGTCGAATCATATTGAGGAATTACAATAAAACCTTAAGATTTACGTGCAAGCTCCATGAATTGTTCGAAATAAATAATAGGGAAGAGGGGTTCGCGCAATTCCCTCAAATACAATTTCAAAACTCCCGCCACACTGTTGATATCAGATGCGTCTGTCATATCAGCAAGGGGATCTTCGCCCCTTTCAAACCACTCCCTAAAGTTATTTATTTCAACTTGAGATCCTGATACTCTAAAAATACCCTGATGGTGTAAACCTACAAATGAAGGATTAAGTTTCCTTAACTAATTGCAGACCAGTTAACTACCGTATAAATTAATAACTCTAATGCAAGACTTCATAATTAAAGGAATGTCTTGATTTGTTGCTTCCAAATACTCTTCTAACGAACCACCAAACAATTTTGGTTGGCCACTCATTTGAAGTCGACCGATTCTTTTTCGGCGAGGAGTTTTCACAACCGGTTTAAGGGTACTACAGTAGTCGGGTGCTTCAGACAGCAACGATTGTCTTATGTACTCTTGTTTGGCATCTAGGCGAGCTATTTTTGTTGATCCCAATAAATATTCTCTGAATTTCTGTAAAAAATCATTGTAATGCTGTAATATAATTAGTCGCAATGTCATCTAATTTGTATTAATTAAAAACTGTTTTATTATGTAAGCAATTTGCATTTGAAACAGTTTCTACACAAATAGGCAATGCCACCCACATTTACAGTATCAAATAAAATTGTTGGGCCATTTCCTATTCTAGTCCTGGGGGATAACCACCATAAAATTACTTTATAATTAGTTTCTGGAGGTCGATTATAACTGTACAAACATAAATTTTCAGTGTTTAATTGATTTTCTATTCAAACATTTTCCGAGCGACCTGAATTTCGGCAATTCAAACATTTTCGCTTGTTTGTATTTGAAATTAAGAAATCTTCACTTATTGATGTAAATATATTAAACGTATTGTTACCACTTCATAAATAAAAATAAAATGCTTAGAATATCATAATCACAGAAGGAAAAAAATCAGGGCCGTCAATAATTAAAAAATTGTATTGTGCGTTTTAAATGTGAATTTAATTTGACAAGTCAGTGTCAAATTTCCCATGGCGATGTGATGAGATAATTATAGAGCACAATTGCAGATGTTTAATGTTATTATGTTATTAGTGTCATTGCAAAGATTTTGCGTTCTGACTTACCGTTAAATAAAATTCTTCAGTCTCTTGTCGGTCTGCCCTTAATTTAATAGAGACAGTTTCCGGTGGTTTGCTGGCTGGCATCGCATTTTCCCCAAAATATCCACTACAATCGTAATCTTTAGCATTCAACATTTCCAGCAAGGTGGATTCGGCAGTTTCAAGAGTCTTCCACACCTCTTCAGATTCAGTTCTTAACGAAGTTACCCTTTGTTGCAACTGGCGTAATCGACTCTCCATTTCTTGATGTAGAACTTTTTGGATTTCTGGTTCAGCAGGCTTTAAAATAAATTTCCAATTTAATGATAACGATCAGTAATTTTGCTCAGTACCGACCTCTTCCTGTTTTTGTCCTTGGAATTCCAATTTTTTCGGAATCATGAACGCCGTGTGGTTGTATTCAAGGAATCGCTGTTTGTCTAATCGAGAGTCTAGAGAATTAATGCATGCAGATAGGGTGTCTAAACCATTCTGTACAGATCTTTGCCTTCCTTCTTCCGCGGTTACGTGCATCAAAAGCGCCCGAGATATACAATTGTGAAAACCAAAATCCATACACTGAAGAATTTCATTGTTATATTATTTTAAGACAAACAAACTAAACAATGAACTTACATCAATGAGATCGGATAAATCATCAACGAAATATTTATGAATTGTTGTGTTGGAAGCCTCTAAACATAAAATATACTCGTTTCTGGCTTTGAGAGCTTTCAATTTTGCATCTGTGTATTTGTTTTTACGCTTCAAAAAAATGTAAATAAACATCAAACAGGCCAAAATAACGCTAAGAAAAATTACCTTCATCACTTCTTTTTCCATCAACTTGTATTTTTTCGACCTATCTAATTTATCCTGGGAAAGAGACTGTTCTAATTTCGATCTTTGAGTTTCGGCTGATTTTAACTTTGCCTCCGCTTGGCGTAGTTCCGCCTGATAACTGTGATATGTTTTCATTGTTGTGTGAAGCTCGTGCAAGACACGTAGTATCTCTTCATGTGTCTCGTATCCGATTTCCCGACACTAAAATATATCAAAACATTTACACTGATCCTATCACTACTAGCTAAATCCTCAATCTTACCCTCTTATATATTCTCTGGACATCCTCCATGACTTGCGATAGTCTGGAGACTAAATGCGTCGAATAAACTTCAGATAAAGCTACATGATCCCTGCTTAAATTTTTAGTCTGTGTTACTAATTGTTGCCAACACGTATAACTCGAAAATAAAGGCCATTGTTCTCTTCTACGAGCAAAACAATTAATTAACAAGCGACAACTAGTTTACAACAATCACTTTTGCTTTTGTTCTTTGTGTCTAAGCTGCAAGCTTTTCGCTAGTTTATCTAAATTTTTCGAATAGTCGAGTTCTAGTTCACCTCTCCGCCGGAAAAAATCTTGCAACTCCGTTACTAGAGCGACTTGGGCTTCCATACGCATATCTAAACATCGCAACTGCTCGTTAAGTTGCAAACGGATATCTAAAAGAAAAAGAAAACATGTATTAAAATAATAAAATAATATTTAACACACAAATTCCGTACTGTTGAAATCATTGTTTAAACATTAAAAGAGATACAAGGTTTAGGTACAACATAATCTCCAACTAGGACGAGTCCTAAATTAGCATAATAAATGTAAAAATATGAATGTGGCGTAGTTTTTACTTATCGCCCCACTTGCGTATTTCAACTCACATTGGCCATTAACAAGCCACTTACGCAGGTTATTATTGTTACTATAAGTAATAACGCTAATAAATTGGCAATGCTCATAGCATTCGTTTTCTGAACACACTCTTGTGATCCCCAAGTTTTTTATTATTCATGAAGGAAACACGTTACCGCTTCCGAGGATTGTGTGTACGTTTGTGTTGTGGTAATTTTAATATTAATATCTAATTTTTCACTTAATTAAAACCAAATCATTACAAGTTCTCAACGTCCTTAAAGATAATCTCTGAACTCGTCTTTCGTAAATCATTAAATGATTTTTTGCTGTTCTTGCAATTAACAAAGACTTGTTTCAAAGCGGCGATAACACTACTAACACGTAATTCTGTATCAATACAACAAAGTTCCGTTTTCGATTATATTTATTTATAATTGATACTCGCAACTCTTGCAAATCTCAGATATATGAAGAACTTTAACGGTAAACGTATTTTTGGTTATTCTCCACTTATTGTATCTACTTATTAGGAGATAAATTAATAAAGGCCAATGACCGGCCTAAAAATTAAACTAAATCGCAATATGATAACGACAAATCCTACAGTCTTGCTTTGCGTTTTCGATTTTTCAAATTGTTCTTTGTTTTGGCAGTCAATGTCAAACATTCAATTGTTTTTGATTGATTGATTATACGTCACTAGTAAGCGAAACGTTTGTAGAAATATTTGTATAAAATTATGAAAATTCTGAGTGTATTCTCTTCTTTTCACAAGGAAATCAATCTGAACAAAACTTCCTGATGTTCTAACATCTTCCAACAAAAATTATATAACAACGCTATCCTCATTTCATCAATTTGCGAGAAATCGTTTCCCAACTTGCAATTTTATTGTTTAATAAAACTTTTATTTAAACTCGCCCATTTATCAACCCAATGACAGTGTAGGGATAGCATTCTGCAAATCATTTAAATTGTCACTGGATCTTTGTTCAGTTTATTTAGCAAAAAGATTACCATGAAAAATGTATTTTTATCGTTCATAGATTAGATAAGTTTTATTAAAAATTGAAATATCTGTGACGGATGTTCGTCTCAGTACTTTAATATTCAGATCTGCTAATCCACGATCTAGTGAATGGAGTAAATAGACTGAAGCAAATTACCTCGTTTACAACTCTTCACATGAAACTGATACATAAAACGAAATAAAAGTTTATTTCATTTGTGAAACTTGCGAAAAATAAAATTTGAGTTTTACTCATCAGTTGGCATTGATCCGTAGGGTAATAGGCGTAGTGCATGTGATTATTACTCAACACTTCGTTTAAAACAAACCACAACGTTACTATTTTTGATGATACAGAAAAACGTGACATTTGACGTCTAAACAAGTGATGCAAGGTGTGGTGTAAATTTTGCACTAAAAATATCTGCGAATAAGTTTTTATTATAAAAATCAAACTCAGAGGTAGAATTTAGAGCACACAATACGTAGACTACCATATGTTACATATAGCAACTTCTTGAAAGCATAGAGAAAAGTATCGATATCCGGCTTTAGATGATGAGGTATACTAGATTTTGAACGATGGTTTAATGATTTTTATGAGTGAGTATAAAAGAAGTCACTTACAATGGATAGCATAGTCCCGCGATCGAAGAGAAATTAGAAAAACAAAACGTCTTATAAATATTTAATCCAACCGCTTTCAGAGAAATAAAAGATCTCTGCACCGCGATGTTTAAATAATTATACAGCGGGTATGCCTTATGATTTATTTATCATCGCAATAAGACGCGTTTTTGAGAACACTTTGGTAATTATCAGACAACATGCAAGGAAAATGATGGATTTGTTCATCAAATGAACGTAAACTATTTTTAAATTAGTACCTGTTGTAATCCGAGGCTCGATTTGTGAGAAGTTTTAGGTTCGGTTAAGTGGTAGTTATTTAATTCCAGCATTACAACCTTTTTTTATTGATTTTTTCAAGTCATTAGCGGGTGAGTGCGTTAAAACGCAATGCAGGCGAGTCAGTTTGGAAACAATGTGCCATTGAAATGTCACAGGGCTAAGTTAAAGTTTTCCTGTTAGTTAAGGACAACTGCTTTGATGTCATGTAGACATTATCGAGGCTTGATCACGCGATTGTGATGCAAGAGACTCAGGGGAGCAACCTCACAATAGCCCCTCAGCTTCAGGTAGAAGAGTCTGTCAAAATTCTAGCTCTAAAAACTGGTCCCGCTTGCTACGTGAATTGAATCAAAGTTGGTTGTGGTTTTTGACGTGAATTAACATTACAAAAATAAGTTTTCCGGCCTTTGACCCTTGTGTTTTCCACTAGAATTTATCTCTATTACACGCTAAATTAATTGCGCTTAGAAGAGAATGCTGCTTCGAAAAACAACTCGCTTTGTCCACCTGGAGGAAATTCCAAGCAGCCCAGTTTTCTTTACTAATGACTAGGAAAAATTCTCATTGAGATCAACGCACAATTCGGCTGATCTAGAACACCCTACAGCCTACACAAACAAATCACTCTAAAAATAGGATTAGAAGGGTGCTATTTCTGGAGTTTAGTATTTCCTTGCAGCAAATGAAATACTACTCGTGAAATCTGAGATAACCCACACAAAAGCTTATCTAGTATTATGTAGGGTTGAATTAAGATTTGAAAAAAAGAACTTTGACATAGCTGGCTAGATAACGAATCGGTTTTTATAATTACTTCCATTCATTCCTCGAAAGATAAAAATATCACTAATGGCAAAAGTTAATGTGCCATCTCTACAATAAAAGAAATTTCCATTTTCATTCAAACTTTTATTGATCCATTTCGTTCCATTCATTAGTGTAGCAGATTACGAATAAATACCTCCGATCGCTAAATCAACTTTTATTACATCCGCAACAAATATTCTTATACTCATAGAACCAATTAAGTATGCTAATCAATCATTTAATTGTATATACACAACTTGTTACAATATAAACAAAATCAATACTACACGTGTTAAGATGAATAACACGCTAGTCTCGTTCTAACCCTCAATATTGTCAAAAATAATTCGGTTAGTAAGATTGGAAGATGCTGAACCGGCAAGAATCCTCTCGAAACCGGTTGGTTGTCAGAATAAATTTACGGCTTCACTCTCCTCGTAATTTCTGTTTAGATAAATAGTTATCGTGCATTAACGCACTATTACAATAAGAATGCAAAAATTTCATTCGCTTATTAGGAGTGATTGTTAATTTTATGCAGTGCAGCATGACATTAGAAAGATCATCTTTTTCGCTTTCTACTTAACGAATACACATTTTATCTAAACAGATCATTATTTTTACGCCTTTTTATACAATCTTCCTATACAAGTGACTGCCGTGAAAGTAAAATCATTATCATAATTAAATAAAGCAAATTTGCAGGAAACATGTGGCCGCTGCTCTTAGCACCTGTCAAAAGTGTTGAGAACTTTTCCAATATTTCCAAGAAACAAATTCGTTTTATTAAACGAAATTCCTCGTTAATTAAACTCAATTTGTCTCCAGTCACAATTATAAATAAGCGAGAAATGTCGGTTGTTTCAAAAATCGATGGCCTGGAATACTCAACTACAATGTACTAGTCCGATAGAGCATGACTTCCGGGAATCATGTCTTGTCAAATTTCAATAAAATTTTAATAAAACAAGAGCAAATCAAATTGTTTCCTTCTTTTCCATTAAAATTACATTCTTTGTACCTTCAAGTTTTCTAGGAGGAAGAGAACTTAGACTGCATCTCATCAACTCAATTAAAATGTACCAAAAGTCAAGGACTCACTCGCAACAGAGCACATTAAAAAACAGTGAGGTCAGCTTGAATTTAACAATTTAATTACGCATGTAGTGGATTTCATATAATTTGGTTGTGATTACATACGAGTAAAACAACAAATTGTTGTTGACATCCATATGAAGACCTCTAACTTTAAAAACCACTGAATTATTATAATAAAGAGATATTTCATCAATGAAGATCATAAAACAACGAAGTGAATTGATCAAGATTATTTATAAATAATACATCGAATATTTGTAGCCGCTTAACTGTATTTTAAACCAAATTCTCATTGCGCTATCAACTTCCTAAGATCATCTGTAAGGTCATTTTTTATTGAAATTATCATAAAATGAAAACCATCTGAACTGAGATGGGATTATGTTTTTAACTTCACAGTCGGTACAATTTCGTAGCTTATTTCACAGAAACGCCATGCTAAAAATGAATCTTGCAATCTGTCTTTCACACTTTAATTACATTGCTATCTATCAAAATCTCAAAACTTGCAATTTACCAACGAAGTACATTATATTTATTTGAGATTAAATCGAATGAAACACACAACAAGATAAACTAAGTAAATTCTCATATCTAAGGGATTCTGTTTTAATTTTGTAAACTTAAATAATAGGCTCCAGAAAAAGAAGTAATACAAGTACATAATTAAACATTGCCTTCAAAAAATTAAACTACAAACGATCTAAAAGTTAATACATCTAAAAATTATTTTAATAAAGACATCTAAATTTTGTAATGATGCTGTCAACAATTAAAGTATGTTAAGTCTAAAAAATTTTTTGACCAATTTTAGTTATTATGTGCCTACTTCCACTACTTAGTAGTGGAATAATAACCAACCTGAAAAAAATTGCTATTTGAGCGTGACTGGTTTTATACCACAAAACAGCTCAGATGTTAATTTAAATTACAGACTTCTAACATTAGATTACAACTAAATAAAATTTAAACTTATCACAATATATT